AGATCCTGAGCAGCAAGCCATGGATAGGGTCTCTTCGCTATACCACTACCTGGAGCAACTCTGGGCTGACAGTGGGGCAGATTTCCTGTGTTTTACATTAGGAATCTCTTAACACCTCTCTAAGGGATCTGCTGAGAAGAGGACACACTGCACAGAACAAGATCCACCCCATCCTGAGACAAGTCTTAAAATCACAAGAAGCCCGGAACCCATGGCTGATAGCTATAATCCTAGGGACTCAGGAGGCAGAGATCTGAGGAGCTTGGTTCGAAGTCAGCTTGGGCAGAAAAGTTTGTCAGACTCATCTCTAGTTAACTACAAAAAAGTCAGAAGTGGAGCTGTGGCTCAAGTGGTAGAGTGCTAACCTTGAGCAAAAAAGCTCAAGGATAGCACCCAGGCCTTGAGTTCAAGACCCATGATTTCCCCAACCCACACACACATAGAAAGATGACTTGAATAAGGTCAAATGATCTAGGCCTCTCAGGGCTGCTGGGATGTGGAGGAGTCCTCTGTCTCTCATTCCTCCCTAAGTCCTACCCTTTGCTCTAGGCATAACCTTGCCCCTCTCAGAACTGAATCTCCTCCCCCAGATTGCAGAGTTAAGTAAGGAATGGGACTCCATGTGAAAAGTAGAGGTAATGCTGAACTCTATTTGTACTGGGTGCTGGACCCCTCAGTGTTGCCCCATATTTCACCTGACTCCGTCTAGACCTGGGCCCCACCCTTCTGTTGAGGTAGTGCTCTATCCACCAATTCCCCCGCCCTCTCAGACCATGATGCATTAGTCAGAATCTGCTGCCTAGTCATCTGCATGAGGCCCTAAAGGACTTAGATCAGGGGAGGCCTGAGCTTCCTCGGCTTCCTCTCAGTCTCCCTCAGTACTCACCTTGACTTCCAACCATGCCTGATGCATCTGTTATATTCAAAGGCAGTTTCCACTACCCAAACCTTAAGCCCTGCCAAACCCAGAGCATAAATCAGGCATCACATGTCTGGTCACATGGCCTAGGGCCTCCCTGGAAACACAGCAGGGTACAGCTTTTCTGGTCTGTGCTGTATTTTTTTTAATTTTTGGTGTGAGTTGAACGAACTCTGGGCCTGCACACTGTCCCGGAGGATTTTGCTCAAGGCTACTGCTCTACCACTGGGTCCAAAGTTCCACTTCCAGTTGTTTTAGGGTTAATTGGAGCTAAGCATCTCCCAGACTTTTATTCCTAGGCTGGCTTCAAACCTCCATCCTCAGATCTTAGCCACCTGAATATCTAGGATTACAGGTATGAGACACCAGCGCCCAGTGTATTCTTTATGTTGAAGTTTTAAGGTCTCTTTCCCTAAAGATCTAGAGCCTGTCTTCTCCAATGAAAACTTTTTCTTCTTTTTGACCTGAAGGACAAAATTAAGGATATATGCCCCAGTTCACTTGTATGGGGCTAGCTCAGGTAGATACCACAAGAATAATCAGATTTGGGAAACTCCATTCTCTTTTTTGGGGGAGAGGGTCCAGTCGTGGGGCCTGAATGCTGGGCCTGGGCGCTGTCCCTCAGCTCTTCAGCTCAAGGCTAGCGCTCTACTACTTGAGCCACAGCACCACTTCGTTTTTTTCTGCTTATGTGGTGCTGAAGAATCAAACCCAGGGCCTCAGGCATGCAAGGCAGGCACTCTACCATTGAGCCACCTTCCCAGCCTCAACTCCATCCTCTTTAAGATCCCATCATTGATTCCAAATTGAGTTTTTCCATCTCAATGAAAGAATCAGTCTTTTACTCGAACCAAGTCTATTACACCCATAATCCACTGATGGTGAAGGTGGTGTTGGAGCATGAAGGTGTTCACCTGACAAAATGCCCCTGTGGCCAGTCTGATAATTGAGAGGTAGCTTCATGTTTGGAGAACCTCTTCATGTGGAGGGCTTTACTCTCTCTAACCCCACAGTCTCAACTCCAGAACGGGCTGACTTACACTGTCTCTTGTGCAGAATTGCAGATGTCAGAACACAGCTCTCACTGACTAGGCATTCCGTGAGGCAAAAGACCTGGCTCTCTCTTTTTTCCTGTCTCTGTTTCTCTGTCTCTGTCTGTCTCTCATTCTTTCTCTCTTCAAATACAGGGCTGAAAACAAGGTAGCAGTTGGACTATTTGAGTCACCTTCCTGGGAACTAGGCGATAGAAACATGATGTTCATGTGGACACTCAAGCAGGTTTTTCTGAAGGACCCTTTTCCCCTACATTCTCAAGGTTTACCTAGTCCCTCTTTAAGAGGTCCAGATGCTTTCCCTCTGTTGACCTGATGATCCATCTTACAAGCAAAGGCCACCAACTCTGTGACACTCACCTCAACACTAAAAGGGCAGTCAGAGGTGCTCCCTTCCCAAGAAATACTGCCAGGAATGAACCTGGATTGATAGGATTGATAGGAATAGCATATTTTCTGGATCATGCATTGGGGATACTTTTTGTCTAAATAAAGGACCTGAATTCAGTACTGGACACTTTTGCTCATCAGATTCTACTCTACCAGCTGAGCCATGCACCAATCCCAATGATTGTTTTTTATTCTTTTTGTTTACAGTATTGGGATATCCTTGATCCTCACAAAGGATTCTAGTGTAGAGGAGCCACACTAATCTGATTAAGCTTCTATACTCATTGACACAAATTCTAATTGTAGCAGTGATGGTATCTTTAATCAAGGCACTGCCTTTTAGGTTCCATGACTGCTGTATGAAAATGTCCCTCTAATAAGCTGATGTGGAAGCCACAGAGCAGCTGCCTGGTCTTTCTCAGTGTCTCTCAAGACTTACAGCCAGGGAGAGCCTAGCTCTATAAAGGTCATCACACTCCTAATTAACTTGAGTAGCAACAGTGTGTGTCGCTGCCTTCCACTGCAAACTTCAACAGAAAGAATGACACCGTCCCATTTCTTAGGAAATGGAAAGACTTGGAAAAATATTAAGTGAAGTAAGCCAGACTCAAAGAAACATCAGTCCCATGGTTTTCATTATCTGCAATAACTAGTATATGTGTGAGACAAGCAGAAACGGTCAAAAGCTATGCACATATGACCATATAACCTGATGCTAAGTGAAATGAACCCCAAGATAGGGACACAAGAGATTTTATCTTTCTTGTTGTTCTTTCTAATGTAATTATAATGTACTATGTTATTTTGTTTGCTTTTTTTATGGTCTTTCCCCATGGTACAACCCTTGTTGTCACTGTATTTGATTCCGGTGTCCTGAATCTTGTATATACATTTTTCTAATTTGGGGAGGGGAAGGGAAATCACAAAATGCTGAAGTAAGGATACAGGTTGACCCATTGTAACAATGAGATGTTGCTATGTTGAAAACGAACTTTACAACTTTGTGGGGGGGGGGAAGATGGGTGGAGGGGGAAGGGAGCAGTTGGGGAGGTGGGGGAGGGAAGGGATGGTAGGAGAAAACAAAGGAGGGGGTACCAACGCTCCAAAGGAAATGGACTCATTACCTTGCTCATGTAACTGTAACCCATCTGTACAGTATTGTTACAATAAAAATATATAAAATAAACTAAAATTCTAAATGAGAAAAAAGTGAGTGATGCTTGTGAGTTCTGGAGCTGTAGTGAAGGGCAGAGACAGTCATTTCTAATGGCATTTCCCCCTAGCCCTTTCCACGTGGGGATGTTGTTCATATCACTCTTCTCCAGGATCTATCAGAGGACATGGAGCCTCAGGAGGACAAGAAACCAAAACAAATCATCATAATTCAGGAAAAGTTCCCCCATTAGTAGTTACTTTGCAAAACCTGGTTGTGAAGATTATCCTAGAATGATAGATCCCGGAATTTGAGTCACAGCTGCTTCCCCATTGAAATCACTGTTCTTAATTTTTACATTTCTTTTAAACTGAGCTTAATTATTCTATTTTCATATACTCATATAGTGTCCTCTTATAATACTCAAATGTGCTATTGTTTAGTCATCGCTTGCCACTGGTTGTCCATGTGTTTTATTGGTGAGGGAGAAGATTCTGTATATAGGAGAAAAGATATATTATCGGTCATTCTCAATTTAGCTGTTTCCACACAAGCTCCATCAATTTTTCTGTTCCTAGGGTTTCCATAAATGAACTTTATATTTTTGTGTGTGCCAGTCCTGGGCTTGAACTCAAGGCCTGGACACCATCCCTGGCCTTTTATACTTGCAGCTCTACTTTCCAGTGTTTGGCGGTTAATTGGAGATATGAGTCTCAAGGTCTTCCCTAATGGGGGTGGGCTCAAATCTCTGTCCTCATAGCTCAGCCTCCTGAGTAGGATTAAAAGCATGAGCGAATGTCACCCAGCATAACTTCTTTTTGATGTATTTTCATTGTTATTGTTAAGGTGATGTACAGAGGGGTTAAAGTTATATGTCAGATAAAGAGAGTACCTTTCCTTTAGGAAAATATCACCCCTTCCCTCTCCCAGTTTTTCCCTCTTGCCCCCACATACAATTTTACCTTCAATCAAAATAGAATCTAGTGAGTTCCATGGCTTCTTTTTTCCACCCTTTTCCCCAGGCGTTATTGTGCCCACCACTCACCCTCCCAAAGATAGATGAACAAACAAAAAAAAGGAAACAAATCAGACACAAAGAAAAAAACCTCTTATTTCCATTAACTGCAGTTCATTTCCATCTAAATTTTCTTGGTAAGGCTATTGCCTAAAACCCTACAATATTGTGTGCTAAAAATATTACCAAGAACAGATGCTAAAATAAAGGTTTGCAGAAGACATTGGTCATTGAGTGGTGTGAATTACCTTTAAGATATAATTTCCTGTATCACACACACAGCCAACCCAAACCAAGACAATATATTTTTTGATGTTACAAAGAAAATGGGTGACACAAGTATTAACAGTGAACTCTCTGTATTGTTATTTATTTCACTGCTGGAAATTTTGACCATAACCAGGAAATGGCTATTCCACTAGGATGTTGATGTGGAACTGATTTCCTAAGTGTTCTTAAAATTGGCACGAGTCACTCTTCTACTGAAGAAGCCATAGCATGGCCACTTGCTCCCTGTTCTTCTTGTAAAGCTTCTTCATACAGAAATTCAAAGGACCTAGGGTCAACTTTGCTGAATTTGGCCCAGTGTTCCAAGACTTTCATTTTTGAAGTTTCTGCATAAGCTCTTGGGCCCCAGGTAAACTCATAGATGATAGGATCACTGCCGGGAACCTGCTGATATTCTAGGTATTGCTCCCATACAAAATCTTCCATAAGCAGTTTCCTAGGGTTTCCGTAAATGAAGTGTTCTCGGTCAGGATACACTTCCATGTTACTAAGCACATGCCAGATGTCATCATCAGTGGCACGATTGCCTTCCATAAAGATGATACAGAGGACGATTATCAGCAGGCCTGACTTGGGCAAACCCTGCACGTCGCTAAGCATACCATTGTAAGTGATCCCAGCTGCTACGTATAGCACATATATGTGGAGAATAGGATCTACTTCTCTTATATCAAGGCCAAACAGGAGTTGCATCAATACAGAAGCTTTTTCAAAGATCTGAGGGAAGTAACGCCTGTGACCTCTCCTGATGTGATTCAGCATATCAATGCGAGAAACTGTCTGGCTTGACCAATACTTAGATAGCAGAAATGGTATCAATGATGTTGCCCCTTTGCGTAGGATGGAATGCAGGGTCTTCTCGTTGTGCAGGGGCAGTTCTTCTCTTGCCTGATCACTGGATCTCTGCTCTTCATTAGTCTCCCTAACTACCTCACCCTGGAGACCTTCTGACATGTCCCTTTGGGCAAAGGGTATCAGTGAATTAGAAGCCTCCACAGTCGGAGGCATTGGCTCACCCACCAGGCCTACTGCCTGACTTTGTGCCTGAGGGTCTCTCTCAAGCTCAGAAGCATGTGTCTTCTGAGTGTAAGGTTTCATGGCTTTCCTTGTGAATAACAAATAAGGGAGGAGAACAGCTCAGTGATGACTCCTACACCTGTGAGAGAGAAAGCAGTTTCAGCTGACAATGTTCCCCTTGGCAGCTTCCTTAGGATTTCCTCCTGGTCCTCTCTTTGGTGCTCTAGGGACACATAGCTTCCTGTCCCCCTCTTGTGTGTGTTGCCTGAAGCCTCAACAAGGCATAAGGAGCTGAGTGAGTCTGAGTCTCTGGGGTGCTGGTGGGGTGTGTAGTGCTGAGCGATGTGGAGTTGTGTTGTGGGGTAAATGGATGGAGCATATGATACCATTTCATCATATGAACCTCAATCTTAAATTCTAACCCTACCAGAGAATTTTCTGCTAGGTTACGAGGGCACTACTTCAGGCCAAGACTTTTACCTCCTGGTCCCTGGAGTATGTACAGCAGGCAGTGAGTCAGACCTCTCTCTCTCTTGGACCACAGCATGCAAGGACAACATGGGGCTTCCTGGCTTAACAGTGAGTACAATATAGGCAGCCTCTACTGAACTCATTCTACATCTCCAACTGTCCCCTGGAGATGTCTAAACTGGTGTCCATGTTCTTATAATGGAGCAAAAGGCAATAAAGGATCATCAAATGTGACTGGTGACACAAACAAAGGTAACCATAAACACTCTGGACCATATGGGTGGAGGACTAGCTCAGTGTTCTCCTTGTTAAATGCCAGGTTGGGAACTTGCCCTCTGAGCACCTAAGGCCACAATCCCAAAACCAAAACCATATTTCAATGAGAAATCCTAAAGATTGAAGGAGAGATGAATGCACCTATGATGTCTGGTTTTCCTCATAGGTAAAGGAAGGAAGCATGGTATTGGAGTCCTCTGTGTATGAGTGGGTTGGTTGGTTATACCTGTCCTCACCTTAACTCCAGATTGATTCTTGAAACTCCCTCTTTCTGACCACATTGTTCAGTTGAATTCGCTCAGTCCTGGGCCCCAGATTCTTGGTTCCTGGGAGACAGAAGTATATAAACAGTTCATGTGTACACCCAAGCAGAGATTTCCCCAAGGCTGATGGAGGGAGCAGGATCCAGGGCTTTTCTTTTGTGTGGGGTCCCTCAAGGTATTCATGATTACTCTTCACACAGCCTCGGCCTTTGCCCTCTGTTAATCTCCAGGTCCATCTTGCAAGCCAAGACTATCATTTTCCTTATTCTGCCCATCATGAGAAACCACTAGTACCATTTCTTCGCCACGGTTCTGTCTGGAGCCACCATAGGCTTACAATGTAAGAAGTTTCCTTAAAACTAGAATAGGATCTGTTGGTCTTGTCTAAAGCATCTACTAAGCAGAGGACATATTCTGCAGACCAAGTTCCACTCCTCTGGAAATGAGTCTAAGAGGCTAAATTGAAGGTGCCCTGGATCTAGGCATGCTGTACTGGGCCTCCCCAGGGTGATGAGAGAGTGGAGGTCTACCTCTGATCTGGCCTGCAATTTCCCTTTGTTCCTACCTAAGTCCTCCCCCGTAATCCAGGCAGAAGTCCCACACCACTCATGATACCAGTCACCTCCCACAGAGTTGGAGAAAGATCAGGACTCAGTCTGGAAATAAGGGCAAGTTTCCCATCCTTGGTGTTACCTGACATCTTACCTTGACTCTCTACAGGACTTACCTTGTCCCTTAGATTGAGAAGTAGACTCAGTTGTTCGATCACCTGATGTGAGGCCTTCCACAGGGTCACTGCATGAGTAGGTCTTATTGTGTCTAGGGGAATCCCAGTTGCTCCTGAGTCTTCACCCTGAGACTTCGGTCAGCATCTGGTCCCTCAGGGTATGAAACTCAGGATTTGTCTGTCTACCTAATCCCTACCTCTTTATGACCTAGAAAGCTAAGTATGACATCACTATCCTGGTGACAAATCACAGGGCCTCCCTGGACTGACCGCAGGGGCAGACTTCCTCTGTGTCTCCTTTAACCTGGAGTCTAAGGTCATTTCCTTAACAGTCTTGACCCTGACCAGCCAAAGCTCTCATTTCCTTTATCACTGCATGGTGGAAGTGATTGTCCCAGATGCATGTCCACCAGGAGTGTGTGAACCGCTCACATAGGCCCTACAGAGTCCTGCCCTCTGCACACCAATGTCTTCAAACAAAGATTTCCTCAGTGTCCCATGTGGTAGGAGCGAGTGAAGAACAGGTAGATACTTCACATAGAGGCCCTCAGAAGCATAGCTGAGAGAAAGTGTGAATATAGACTTTAGGGGACCCAAAAATAGATTGAAGTTTTCTCTGTGTCCCTTCAGTTATCCAAAGACCTCTTATATCCTAGGACCCTAGACTAAGGCTGTTATTTTCAGAGTACCCCGAGAGAAAACTTAAGGTTAAGTGGACTGGTAAGGGTTAATGTGAATATATAGTGGAGGAGTACTCCAGTGTTTTGACACTCCCCAGGGTTCAGGACTGAGAGTATCAAATGAGTGATGGTGTTTGCTTATTTTATAATTCTATACCTAAATCTGAGCTTTGGCCAATTAACTTCTCCTCTCTCCTGAATCCAGCTCAGACATATTGTCTCTCGTCTCCAAGTTATTGTTCAAATCTGTCTCCATGGTCACAAGATTCTGAAGAGGAGGCTAGGAGAGGGGTGGAATGTTGGGGCTGACATTGGGATAACTCCTTTGCACTTGATAGTAGCATTTCCCCTGTTTACCTTCTAAACACTGCTCTTACCGAACCTCTCGGTTCCTAAGAACTTCAGACTAAGCTTGGTACCAGCTGCTGAGAGCTGATGATTGCAGTTCACAGCCAGCCCAGACAGGAAAATCTGAGACACTTACATCCAATTAATCACACAAAACTGGAAGTGGCACTGTGACTCAATGTGGTAGAGTGCTTGAGTGAAAGAACTGACAGACAATGCCCAGGCCCTGACTTCAAGCCTCAAAATAGACAAAAAATAGTTTTGTGACTAAAACTATGACTAGCAAGTTTCCCACATATATAAGGCGTGGTTGAGGATCTGGAATCAGAGGCTCATGTGTAGCATCCTACCTTCTGAGGAGCCTGAGATTAGTAGACTTAGATTTTTTTAATAATGAATATTGCATATTTATTATTAGTTGAAATAATATGCTATGACTTCTTAAAATCAGAGATGAAAAATAAGAGTCTATGGGCCAATTTTGGTTTGGCACCTGTTTTTACTTTACAAGAGATGGTGTTTTCTGATATTGCTTAGACTGATTTGATTCTGATTTGAGGCTGATCTTGATCATCATCTTGATCTTGATCTGTACTCAAGGAATCCTTTTTGATCATCCTCCTAATTAGTTGGAACTATAGGCATTTGACACTGTGCTTCTTCAAAATTGTTTTGTAAATAAAATTTTGGCTGCTTCTGAGCTTCATTTGCAGGATGGAGCAGAGGTGACAAGGGTAAAATTACCCCATAAGGCACAAATTATCTGATCTGAGGAAGCTGCAGAGAACTGATCAACCATTCTTGGAAACCAATATTAATATAGGTACTCTAAGTCTTAAGTCGTCTTCCATAAAATTATTGTTGACACAATAACAAAGTTATATAACCTAAATGAAGTATATTTTAGAATCTAATAAGCTTAAAAAATTTAAATAAAATAATAAAATTTTAAAAATTTTAATAATATAAAAATATCCAAATGAATTCTTGATTAACTTGATATTTGTAAAACAAATTTAATTGTTGAATAGTATGTGCTGACATGATTCATTAGGAACAATTTAATAATTTTCTCTTCCTCATGGATATGAACACATTGGTCTGTATTGACTATGATAGGAATATTTACAATTTGATTATAAATATATCTTGCAGATATATGATGGAAAAGATAAGACAACACATTTACTAGGGGCTTTTACTGGCACATCTATGAGAGGACTGACCCTTAGCAGTACTTCTAATTAGCTCTGGCTAGAATTTAATTCTGACTCAGAAGGTACAGATGAAGGCTTTCAACTTGTCTAAACCTGTAAGTATTTTAGAAAAATAAAGTTAATAACTATGCTGAATATTTCTTAATAATGACAATGTATTAATAATGATGAAATGTTATCTCATACTTAATTGTGAATTTTGAATTTTTATATAATTTTTATTGTGAAAATACCATGTAGAGGGGTTACAATTACATGGGCAAAATAATGAGTACATTTCTTATCAAGCTTTGTTGCCTCCTCCTTTGTTTCCCCTTCCCATCCCTTCCCATCTCCCCCCTCCCACACCCCCCACCTGCCAAAGTTGTAAAGTTTGTTTTTACACTAACAATTTGTACATCTCATTGTTACAATGGGTCCACCTGTATCCCTATTTAAATGATTTGTTTTTTCCCTTTCCCTCCACAAATTATACCAACATCAAATACAGTGAAAGCAGGGGTTATACCATGGGGGGAAGGACATACAAAGCAACAAAGAAATATGTTAGAAACAATCACATGAAAGAAAAAAAAACATTTGAATACTTATCTTGGGGTTCATTTCACCTAACATCAACTTATCTGACCGTTTTTGCTTGTCTCAGACATATATTAGTTATTGCAAATAAGGGAAACCATGGGACCTATGTTTCTTTGGGCCTGGCTTACTTCACTTAATATATTTTTTTCTAAGTCTTTCCATTTCCTAACAAATGGGGCAATGTCATTCTTTCTGATGGAGGCATAGAATTCTGTTATGTATATATACCACATTTTCTTGATCCATTCATCTACTGAGGGGCATCCGGATTGGTTCCATATCTTAGCTATGGTAAATAATGCTGCAATAAACGTAGTTGTGCTGATAGCTTTAGTATGGTCTTGTTTGTGATCATTTGGGTAAATGCCTCAAAGTGGGATTGCTGGGTCATAGGGGAGATGAATGTGGAGTCTTTTGAGGAACCTCCACACTACTTGCACAAGTGATTGAACAAGATTATACTCCCACCAATAATGCAGTAAGGTTCCCTTCTGTCCACATCCCCTCCAGCATCTGT